GTTCGGTCCGGTCCGGTCTAGATGAATTATTTTTTGGACCCGAATTTATAGAATTTAATTATCATTAATTAATTAATATAATTCGGTGGAAAATTAATTAATAATAAATATTAATTAATTAAGAAAATAATTGGTCAGTAACTGCCATATTGACTAGATCCAGTATTTTCCCATGCTCCCACGATTTTCTCCATTCACCACGAATTTCTCCCTACTCAGCCTTACTAGTGAATGTGAGAAAATACTTAGAAGGGGGGGTTGAATAAGTATGAAGATAAAACTTAGAAATAAAAACTCAAGTATTTTTATTCTGGTTCGTTGAACTCAACTACTCCAGTCCACCCTTCCTAGAGTGATTTGTCTTTCTCAATCAAGGACTTAATCCACTATTTAATCAACTGATTATAATAGTAAGCACTAAGAACAACTGTTCAAAGTCTTCTCAAGAACTACTGATCCTAATTGGATCTTCTTAAGGTTTACAATCTAATGTAATACAAATACAAGTGTTTAAATTGCTTCTAAAAAGCTTTTATCACAACTGTGATTTTTCACTTAAATATTAAGAACAAAGAAATTAATTCTTAGAAAGAATATGAATAGTATGAGAGCTTTGAATGTTGATTTCTTTCAAATGAAAACGTCCCAAAAAAAAGATGGGTGAAGACTTGCTTTTATAGGCAGCTGATCCAAGGAGAGCTTCACGTTGAGAAGAGTGTCCAAAAGGTCTGAGCCTTTTTATCTTCACATCAAGTGACCTTTCCTAGAAGAAGAAAGCACAGAGAAATCCTTTTTGTCTGTGTTCTTGTGTCTAGCATAAATAAGGAAAGAGTCGTTTTGATCATTCCAACGAATATAATCTTTGAATAATTCTTCTTCAATTTTCAGCAAATTTCATCAGAGTCTAATTTGATCAGAGTTTTGTTGAATCAGAGTCTTCTGCAGCAGGTGTGCTTTTAGCGTGTTTAAGATCAGAGCATATTTGAGTCAGATCCTCAGTACTGGCAGCTTTAGTACTTTCAGAATCTTCTGTAGTAACTATGCTTTGAAAACTCTTCATACAGAATTCTTCTTTGGTTCAGATGCTTCTGACTTGCTTCAGATTTTTCTAGAGCTTCTGCTTCAGATCCTTCTGGAGGCTACGCTCAGGATCTTCTTTTGGCAGTATTCAGAATCTTCTAATGGATGCATCTGGCGCTTCAGAGTCTAGCAAATTTCTTATGTTCAGTTCTGATTTGCTTCTAGAGTGATAATTCCTTTACTATCTGCAGTAAAAACTCTTAAGCAAATTTTAGAGTATATAATTCTTAATTACAAAATTTCATAATAGTTATCATCAAAACATAAGATATTATTAAGAACCAATTTGTGTTCTAACAACTAGCTGCCTATAAATACAGGGTAGAAGTTCAGTAGTGAAGTGGCGGATTTCAAAAAAAGTTCACACGAATTTTGATTTCCATCTTTTCTCCCTTAATTCTCTTCGTCTACAAATCCTTTTTTTCTTGTTTTTTCTTGTTTTTTTGACTGGCTATTTTCGCCAGATACTGTGACTTAGAAAGGTGTATTTCTAGAGCGATTTATCAACCGTACGTTATTGAACGGGTTGTTTTATCCTGGAGACGTCGTCGTAAATCGACTGCTTTGCATATTTTGGCAGTACGGAGAAACGTCTTAAAGAAAGCGACCTAGTACGCGATTCGTCCCGATAATTTCCTTGTGCCAAACTCAATTTTTCAAATCCGAAAACAACACATTCACAGTGAGAGACTGAGGACATTTTAGAAGAGTTGAACGAGAAGAAGAGAGAACTAATAGAGACGAATTGCAATTGTTAAAAAATCTTAACATACTTCATGTATGAACCAATAATCTCCATTGATGAAGCTTTGCATAGCAAACAAAAAATGAAAACAGAGAATAGAAAAAAGATGGAGAGAGAAGAATGTGAAGCTCTTTTGTATTTCTGTATTTGTGAAAGCTTAACCAAAATACACAGAAGAAAGGGTATATATACAAGAGGTAGTTGTAACTACCTAACAAACTATAACCACTAACTTTTCATCCACAAACTAATTGGATTACTAAACATAACTAATCCTAATTAATAAGGGAAAACAAAGAGCTGAATTTTAACAACAATTGAAAGAAGAAGAAAGGGAAAGTTTTATTTCTGAAAGTGTGTAACGCAACCGTTTCTTTTTCTTCCGCTGGTTAAGTCTTTTCTTTTTTTTACTGATGCTTAAACTCAACTGGGTCGCAGACCCGACCCAGGCATTTTGGGGTGCTGCCTTTGGGCTTTATCCTGACCTGGTCCATGTACTTTGCTTTTATTTGTCTCACTTGTTTTTTTTTATTTATGATTTTTATTTTAATTAATTTGTTTTTATCTTAATTAGTTAGTTGTTTAGAATTTAGTTATTTAGTTTTTAACTAGATTTTAGATAGTTAATTAGTTAATTATTTTTATTCTAGTCATTTAGAATTTAATTTATTTAGTCTTTTAGAATTTAGTTTAATTATATTTTAGTTTAATTAATTAGTTTTAGTAAGATTTTTATTTAATTAGAATTTGATTTGATTTTATTAAAATTAATCATGATATTTCTATATTTTCATTAATTTCTTATGTTTGATCTAAATTGTGTTACTTTTGTCTATTGGTTAAATTTTGATGCTTAAAGCTTCATCCTTACTATTTGTTATTTCCCTTAGTTGTTTTTGCCATTCCAAAGAAAATGATTTCCCATGTTGACTGCCATGTCATACTTAACCTAACCTTAGGTCCTTACCCTTTTATCCTAACCTTAGGATTAGAGTCACTGTACATTGTGTATGTGTTCTGCCACAGACACTTCTTCCCGTTTAACCTAACTTTAGTTCAGAGTCACCATACTCTATGTAGGTGTCTCACCGCAGACATTTACTTTTTCCCCTTGAAATCTTTACCACAGTTAATAGTTCATCACCCCTATTGAGGGGAACTACGATTGTTCTGATTCCATTCTCGTCAGGATACGTAGGCACGCGATGCGATGTCTTGGCGAACATACTTTATACATACTTTGTATATACTCTAGATCTTTACCTTAACACATTTCCTTTAGCAAACAAACTTTAGCATAAAACAAATATTAACAAGAGGTTCTGGTAGAGTACTACAGATACTTAGGATGCTAACACCTTCCTTATGTATAACCAACCCCCGAACCTTAGATCTCTTAGTTGTGTTGCTACATAACGCACTTAGGGTTTTCTTCGATCTTTACTCTTTCCTTTGAATAAATCAAAACTCGGTGGTGAACTTTATGATTTGTGACTCAAGTTAATTCAATAGTTTGATATTCGGTTCTCACCGCAACAATATCGAACATTTAGCATTACATGAGACAAATTGAATATGCGTTTGGTTGAGATTCCTAATTCAAAACATGCACAGACTTGTGGTTTGTCTTCCAAAAAACTAAATACAACAGCATATATGAAGATAATACTACATGCATCATTCAATTGAAAGTTGATTACACTAAACAAGATCGAATATAACATATTTTTTTAAAGTTTTTTTTCCACTCATGATCTTCAAAATATTATAATATAAGTATTCAACAAATTTGTTCATGTGATAATTTTGTAGACTTTTTTCACAATATCAATCCCAATTATAAATTTTAACCAATTATTTGAAAAAAAATCTTCGTCAAAGAAATAATTGTTTAACTAAGGAAGAAATAAATTTAACTTACAAAGATATTGTACTTTTTCTTTTTAGTAGAGTTTTTTCCCACACCGAATCATTTCTAATAAGATTTTACTTAAACATATCTTAAACGAACAAAAGAAATGATATGAATAACGTGAGGATACGAATCGATTATATTATTCTATAAATATGATCTATATCATTATCTAAATAAGCACACATTATTACCTCTCTCTTAATCTTTTTTTTAGTTTATAATAACAAAAAAAAAAAAAAAGAATTGGGCTGAATGACAACAAAAATTTAAACCACGAAAATAACCATTTATTACTAATTTAACTATTTTTATAGAGATTAAATATTATATGCTATTTTTATAGAGATTAAATATTGTATGAACTGATGCACACAATGATTAATTATATTGAGTAGAATTAGAAGTTGAGACCACATTCTCCAAAAACTCAAGCTTCCACTGAAAATTTTAATATATTTCAATTAAATTTATTTTATATCAATCAAACAAAATGTAAACAAGACAATTACAAAACTATTCAGATTTATATTTTCAAACAAAAAAGTATTATAATTTTTTTTTCAATTAAATTGAAATGAACTGTTATTTTTTGTCAATAACTAAAATAAGTTTTCGGTTGCACATAATTCAGATTTATTTTTTCAAACTAAAAAAACATTATAACTTTTTTTTCTTCTTTCAATTAAGTTGAATTGAACTGTTTTTTTGGGGTCAATAACTAAAATAAGTTTTCGGTTGAACATAATTCAGATTTGTTTTTTCAAACTAAAGAATATTATAACTTTTTTTTTGTTTCAATTAAGTTGAATTGAAGTGTTTATTTCTGGTAATAACTAAAATAAGTTATCGGTTGAACATAATTCAAAAACTAATTAGTGTATTTGGACGTGGAATTGAAAATTCTAGGCTAGTTCTGTTCGTGTACGGTAAGGCACAGCAGAGAACAGCACAGGCTTACAGTTACTTGATAACAAAGATTGCGATCTTCAATGCGCTCTTTTGCATTACATTGCATTCCAACTATTACTACCACTATACTCACCACTCTCTCTCTCTCTCTCTCTCTCTCTCGTTTTTCTTCCAACTCTTTCTTTCTGGATCCAATTCATTTCGTTCCAGCCATAACACGAACACTTCGTCTACGCGCGACACCGAACCCTTTTTTCCCTTTCAATTTTCAATATTTCTATTTCATTTCATCACGGATCTATCATTTCCTCAAACACATTAACTGCATTGCATCATCGTTTCATTAATGTTATGGGTTGCATATGCTCCAAAGGAAACACGAGTGATCATATCGTCGCCGAAAATCGCAGAGAATTGAAGACTAAGAAATCATCAAAGCGTTTGGTTGTGAGTAATAGGGACAACGACGCAACTACACACCTCATCTCAAACACAAACGCGTATCGCGATTCATCCGATGAAGGAGACAGAGATAAAGAAATTCATATTGCGACGGAAGGAACGGGATCAGAAGAAGATATTAAGAATATAACTAGAAGCTTTAGTGTCAAGAGCAATGATGAAAGAGGGATCGGTATTGTTGAAGGCTGGCCTTCTTGGCTCACTGCTGTTGCCAGCGAAGCCATCGTTGGTTGGGTTCCTCGTAGAGCAGACTCTTTTCATAAATTGCAAAAGGTAATGCTAATTCTCACTTCATCATTTCAATGCATTTTTATCTCTTAATATAATATAATACATTGCTAATTCAGTCATGTATTTGTTTATTGTTCTGCAGATTGGACAAGGAACTTATAGCAGCGTTTACCGAGCTCGTGATCTTGAGACTAACAAAATTGTTGCTTTGAAGAAGGTGAAATTTGCTCCTATGGATCCTGAAAGTGTTCGTTTTATGGCGAGGGAAATTATTCTTCTGCGAAAGCTTGATCATCCGAATGTCATGAAACTTGAAGGAATTATTACTTCAAGGTTTTCTGGAAGTTTGTACCTTATTTTCGAATATATGGAACATGATCTTACTGGCCTTGCAACATTGCCTCGCAAGAACTTTACCGAAGCACAGGTACCTTCTAATGGAAGAAAGGATTGCTAAATCTATTTTAAGCAGAAAGACAAAACAATAGTAGTATATTTTCTTATAAAGATGTCACTACCTGTTTCAGTCCTTCTGTGTTTTCCTATTTAGCTAATTTATTTTTTGTCATGGTGCAGATCAAGTGTTATATGCAACAGCTTCTTCGTGGTCTTGAGCATTGTCACAGTCAAGGTGTTATGCATCGTGACATCAAAGGTTCAAACCTTCTGCTTGACAATAATGGCAATCTGAAGATTGGTGATTTTGGACTTGCAACTCTGTTTCAGCCATCTCAAGAGCAGCCTTTAACAAGTCGGGTAGTAACGTTGTGGTACCGGCCACCTGAACTTTTGCTTGGAGCTACAAACTATGACGTTTCTGTGGATTTGTGGAGTGCTGGTTGTATTCTTGCAGAACTGTTAACTGGAAAACCTATAATGCCTGGACGAACTGAGGTAAAATTCATCTTTTGTTTTGGATATGTGTTAGAAACATAGTAGGAGGGATTATTGTAAAATGGGATGTATTGTTTGCTGAATGTCATTGATTACAAGAGTTCCCCCTTATAATGCTCAGAGTAAGCTCCTTCAGAGGAGAAGAATTCCCTTTCCTCTGCGAGAAAGGATGGTAAAATGGAATATCAAAATTTCTTCTACCCATCATCTCATCCCCTTACTCCCCTTGACCCCTCTCTTAGGAAATCCCTTCTTCCCTCCTTTCTAGAGTATCCACTCCATATTTTAGTTCTGCCGCTAAGAATGTCAATTGGACCCATATTCTCTACGGGCCAAACAGTGTAGATATGTAGATTCTACATCATATTGGACATACTGAAGCCTATGTTATCATGAGTATTCCGGTTATGATGAAATAAGTGTCAAACTAGTATGTCCTTCTTTTCTCCTGTATTTGCAATGGAAGAAAATTTACCGATTCATTTGGTGTAAAATTAAAAGAAACATTAACGATCATTGCATTTCTAAGTTTTATAACCACTTAAATTTATCTGCAACTATGTTGTTGATGAGAAAAAAGAGCTTTACAAGTAAAGAAGGGTCTTATAAATCGTCGGCAAAATACAGAAACCAGTATGCTTTTTCGTCTTGCTTGAAATACTGAATTGTTTAATTTTTGTTTTCATTCAACTATTTGATTGGCATATATGCACTTCTATGGTTTAATTGGGCGGCAGGCACTAAAATCTGGTAATCTATCGTTACAGGTGGAGCAACTGCATAAAATCTTCAAACTTTGTGGATCTCCTTCTAAAGAATACTGGAAGAAGACAAAGCTACCGCATGCTACAATTTTTAAACCTCAACAACCTTACAAACGTATTCTTTCTGAGACATTCAAGGATTTTCCTTCATCAGCATTGAGTCTCTTGGAGGTTCTACTTGCTATTGAACCAAAAGATCGAGGAACTGCATCTTCAGCACTTCAGAATGAGGTAGCTTAAGTTGTCTTCTCAATGAATTTACTCAAACATTTTTTTACCAACTGTTTTTCTTAGTCAAGGACATTTTTTCATGTCTAGTTCTTCACATCAAAGCCACTTCCTTGTGATCCATCGACTTTGCCATCATACTCACCGAGTAAGGAGTTTGATGCCAAACTTCGTGAAGAGGAAGCTAGAAGGTATTCCTTCTTGGAATCTTGTTATCTTCATAAACTCATGTGATTGTCATATCTGATGTTTGCACTATCTGCAAAAATAGCAAAAAATTATGTTGCTAGTGTTAGTGCACGCTTTGATGATAATTTTCCTTTTATATTGATATGCGAAACTAAAATGGTAAGAGGGATGACATCATTATTTTCAAAATTTGATGTGCAATGACTAGAATATGATAGAAAGGCTCCCGCATCTCCCTTTGGCATTCTCTTGAAGATATTGATTGTCTATACTTATAACTCAAGTGTTTGTTTTTGTTTCCTCTATTTTTTGGCCTTTTTATTTTGAGATTACACCTTTATTCTAACTTTCTTCAATAATCGTTTCTTTAGCAATACTTTTTACTTGTTTGTGTTGCTGCATTTTTTAATATTCATTTTAAAACAGACGACGAGCAGCAAATAAAGGACATGGACAGGAATTAGCTGGAAGGAGTTTTAAAGAATCTAAGGTTGTACCAGCACCTGACGCTAATGGCGAGCTTCAGGCTTCCATAGAGGTAAATTACATCATAAATAAAGTGTTAATGGAACTTTTTGGTAGAACTGTTTGAATTTGCCTGATTCATTATTTCTGTGTTTTCCTGCAGAAAAGACGAGGACAGTGTTATTCAAAACGCATCAGTGAGAAGTACAATCCTGAAGAGGAAGGAGATTATGGCTTCCCTATTGAACCTGCTAAGGAAGTGGCACATAATACCTTATCTGATTCAGGCCAGTTAATGCATCAAGGTGCATATGGATCGTCATGCAATATGAATTTGAAAGAGGAAATTGTTGTTGCTGCCCCCGATCGTGTCTTTACATCAAAAAACTCTAAACTGAGAAAACAAAATTCCTACAGGCAAGGTAGCAGCACTGCACAGTTGTCAAGATTTTCTAATTCAGTTGCAGTTCGAGGTGAATCACAGCTTGATATGAGTAAAGACTCTAGTTTGAATTCACAGTGGCAAGAAGATCACTTTGATTTGAGATATAGTGATTTGACTGATGGTGAGTCCAATCAAATGCTGGATGAAACCAAATATTTACGCAAGAAAGACTTCCATCTATTGGGGAAGGATCGTGCCATGGTAAAGAATTACTTGTAAACACATTTAATTTGTGCAATTGTTCTATTATTTTGGAATCACATTGCATGCCCTCTCTGATATAATACTGAAATCTGTTCTGGTTCCTTTTTGGTTAAAAGTTTTTATGCTCATTGTGACTGTGGAATTCTCTAGTAATGATTTGCTTTTATTTGTGATTGCAGGGTATTGCTCCCAAAAATGGGCACATAAACTATTCTGGCCCCCTACTGCCTCCAGAGGCTAATATTGATGAGATCCTTAAGGAGCATGAAAGACAAATCCAACAAGCTGTGCGCAAAGCCCGTCTGGTTAAGGACAAGAATAAAAAGGGTGCCAGTGAGATTGGGCAATCTGAGACACTAGTTCACCAAATGAGATATGGCAAGTCACATATCAAAGAGTTTTGAAACATTTAATTTGGAATGAGGACACTTCAACACATGATTGTGGGTATAAATATGCCGCGATAAACATTTCTTATGGAAACTTGTTAAAATTTTGATGATGGGAGTCAGATATGATGATGACTATAAGTCGTAAGGATTCAATGTATTTCTACACATAGAAGGGATTGTACAGTATTAAGATCTCTAACCAACACACTCTCATATGTTTCAGGAAGGTCTATAGAGAAAATGATATTCATGGGCATTGATTGTATAAAAGTTTTACGGTTTATTAAATTTACACACTAGTCACTAGCGGGTTGTGAGGTCATTTCCATGGTATTATTACTTTGTACATTTGTCAAATTACATTTATTTATTTCATTCATTTAATGCATAGGATAGGTATTCACATCTAACTCTACTGTGCTACACAGCTTCAGAAAACTATCCTGAGCTACATCAAATTTTAATATATTATTATGAAATAAAATATGAATAGGATGTCATCTTAAAATATACTAATTGATATATTAACTTAGCTTCTGTTTAGAACAGCGTTTTGTTCACTTAAAACCAAATGCCAAGGCTAATTTAATGTGAAAAAAAAAAAGAAGCTAAACAATGGAGCATCCTAAAAGCAAACAAACATTAAAAAAACTAATAATATACCAAGCTTTTAAGTTTAATGTTTATGATAACAATATTCATTAGTGATTAATTAAATATGTAAAGAAAAGTGATATGATTATATAATAAGACAAAAGAAAAAAAAGAAAAAAGCAATAGAGTAGCTTCTTTTCTTTATGATGACACTAACTTTTTTGATTTGATAAAAGGAAAAGAGAATAATAAAATAATAAAATAGAACGGTGAGCGGAGGGGAAGATTGAAGAGGCGAGAAGAGAAGAGGTTTTGGAATTGAAAGCAGAAAAGAAGACATCATGAGCAACGAATAGTAAGTTGTTCAACTTGTTAATATTGATTCATTTTTATTATTGACAATAATATTGATTTGTTTTCAGCGATTACCTGTTTAAGCTTCTTATTATCGGTGACTCCTCCGTTGGAAAATCTTGCCTGCTTCTCAGATTCGCCGTCCGTTCCTTTTCACTCTGATCCTTTTTTACTACTTCACTTTTTCCACCCCTAACCCTATCTTTTTTTCTTTCAGGATGACTCTTATGTCGACAGCTACATTAGCACCATTGGCGTCGATTTTGTAACTCTTTTACTAACTCTTTTTTTTCTTATTCTATGGATCAATTATATACTCATTCTTACTTTTTTATGGCAGAAAATCAGAACTGTTGAACTTGAAGGCAAAACCGTCAAACTGCAAATTGTGACTTCTCTTCTCACTCTCACTACTTAACTTCATTCATTCTGTTTTTTTTTTTTACTTATCTTTTACTTTTTTTTTAGTGGGATACGGCTGGACAAGAGCGATTCAGGACTATAACTAGCAGTTATTATAGAGGAGCTCATGGAATCATTGTAATTCCAATTTATCATCATTCATTCCACGCTTGTTTAAAGCTTTTTCACCTAACTTCTCCAATAACTCTTATTAGTTTCTCTGATTGCTGCAGATTGTTTATGATGTCACTGATATGGAAAGTTTCAACAATGTCAAGCAGTGGTTGCATGAGATTGATAGATATGCCAATGACAGTGTGTGCAAGCTTCTTGTCGGGAACAAATGTGATCTAACCGAAACCAAGGTTGTTCAGACACAGACTGCCAAGGTAAAATATTGCTTTTATCTTTCTGGGTTTCTATTTTTAGGTCTATTGCTTTTTATTCAATTAAGATATTATCCCGATTTTATATTTCCTAGTTTCCCTTTTTTAGTTTATCGTATTCCCTATTCCTTAGGTTAGTATCATGTATAGAATTACAGTATTATTCAATCTTAAGTTGGTAATCAGATCAGTGTTATTTCCCACAGTGATCATCACACATTCATGTCGTAAGCTTAGGCCAAAAAGTGGAACTAATCAGGAAGTATGCATTGCATATTATTTTAATCTTTCAAAATAAGGATGAAACATAAAGCAAATCACTAACATATAGTAATGAACGAATAACTCTTAAACATTTACTCATGAAAACAACTTAAACATGTCATGGTAACATTCACGAATCATTTCCAGAAATAAAAAAGCTGAAAAATAATGCAAATTTCTAACATATAAAAAAGAAATAACTCTTGATGAAAACAATTTAACCATGTCATATAAGGAAGAAATAACTCTTAAAAATAGAAACTCATGAAAAATAATTTAACCATGTCATGGTAGCATTCAGCAATCACTTCCATGAAAATTTCCTAAAAGTTACACTGGCATTTCATTCTCACATCCTTCACTGCTGCTAGCAAGATTTCCTTGATGTAATAGCCTTGAGCGATCACTTTGACCATTGAGACCTTCAAAACTGCATGAAGGAAACACCTCAGAGCCGAGTCATTTCCACTAATGAGACCTCCAAATTTTCCTTTAGGAATTACCCTGAACCATATGTACTATTGAGATATCCACAATTTCCTTAAGTAAACACCATTACAGTACTTAGGGTTGCTCAAATAAACCGGTTATTTAAATAATCCATATCCAAATCCAGTTATGAGAATTGGTTATGGATATAACCGGTTAATAACCGGTTTATAACCATTTTAAAAGATAAAAACCGGTTATGAGAATTGGTTTTAATAACCGGTTATAACATATGGATTATTTATGGTTATGGATTGGTTATGGACATTAACCATCCATGAGAACCCCTATCAGTACTACTAACTAGGATTGATATCTGGTTGTATTGTTTCCCCATGATGTTACCTGTATGTGGTTATACTTTTCCAGCATAAAATAAATGAAACGCTTCAACTCACTCGGCTCAGAATCAGCTGTAGTCTTACTGTCATTACAATACTGATACATGAAAACTGACATTTGTGTCTCCTGGTTAGCTTTGTTGAGCTTGGCAAGATTTTCTTCCAATCTTCTTCCCTTCTCCATAACATAAGCCATTTTAGCAATTAGATATCTGATACCTGTGTGCTAGTTGCTCAGCCATAGCAAGAGATGACCAGATTGTGGGCCTTGTTTTACCTGGTCCATAGATGATTGTGCTGCCTCAATACCACAGAGGTTGCTCACCTTGTCTTTTTCCTTCAAAAGCTCTGCCAATCTTCTCTTGAAGCAACTTTTTCTCCAAACCTCAACCAAATAAACTGAAGCCATCATCAACCTAGAAGGAAGAGAACGGGTAATTGTTTATTCTGCAATACAGGAAAAACAAGCAATGATCCAAGTAGAATGAATTTGCTAGTGAACAAAATCCCCAAAGTGAAATTGAACAAACAAAATCAGAAAAAGTGAAATCGATCAGAAATAGAACAGAGAAAATCCCAGATGGGGAATCACAACTGAACTGCCACAAGCTAACAGAAATCAAATCGGGAATCTAGGTATAAGGGCTAACTGATTAGGGAGTTGGGTTTTTCATTTTACCTTTTGAGCTTTGAAGGAAAGAGTGAAGCAGTAGACTGAGAGTAAGATTGAGATAGCCGCTTATAAACTATGGACAAAACCAAATTGTGTTTGAGATAAAAGAATGGGTGAGCCATTTAAAATCTGTATTGCCAAAAATCAATTGTTTCAATATGAGTCAGAATATGGATAAGAAGGATTAGGCTTATCAACCGGATACTATGAACAGCCTTGGTACTCCTGTCTTGATTAAATTGCCTATAACTTGGTATTCAGTTTCTTTAAAAGAGTAGTTATTAAAGATATTGTGAATGTGTGTATGATTAATGTCTTGGTCAAACATGTCGTGTAAAATAATACTTTTGATTAATCATATCAGCTTTTTAATATTGGTTTGTCTTATCCACAATTTAATTTTAATTGTCCAAAATAGTGATATTATTGAATTAATGTAGAATTGTTCACTTAAAAGAAGCACGTGCCTGAATATATTATATGAAATATCAGTTACTCTGTATGCTAAACAAAGAAGGGAGAGAGAATCCTAGTTTGCTTATCTGACATATCCTTGATGATTATGAACCACAGGCTTTTGCAGATGAGCTTGGTATCCCTTTCCTTGAGACAAGTGCTAAAGACTCTATCAATGTGGAGCAAGCTTTCTTAACTATGGCAGCAGAGATTAAGAAGAAGTATCTAATATTTTTCCATTACTTTCTTCGTGCCCAACATGGCTTCCATTGTAAGACAAATATTAAGTTTGAGTTGTTTTGAATATGCAGGATGGGAAGCCAACCAAGTGGTAGTAAATCAGCAGAATCTGTTCAGATGAAGGGGCAACCAATCCCACAGAATAGCAACTGTTGTGGTTAGGTTGAACTTGTAAATTTTCATCTCTTTTTTAACTCTTACAGTAAAATAGAGAGATCTTGTTTATTTAATATGTTAAATGACATGAATGTTTCAGACACTGCCAAAAATACAATCTATCAACTCTTTTGGATAATGTAGCTGTGACTCTTATGGTGACTACTCAAATTTAGAGTGAGTTGGAAACAATTTCGCATAGGCGTCATTTGTTAGCTTAAGGCCTTGACCTACTATTTTGTAGACATGTTTCATAAGCGCTCACATAAATGTTATGCATGAGAATGGACAATAGATTGATGAGTGGTCATTCGAAAAAATAAACAGACATTACAACGGTAAATGAATGTAGTATAGCCTGTGAATGAAAGCAGACAATGCTCCGATGAGAACTCCTAGGATTTTATTACTATTTCCAATATAAGTTATTTCTTCCCTTGGGATTTTATCAATATTTTCAAGAAATTTAACATACCCTTCTAAGTCTTTAATGACATTTTCTAGAGATGTTAACACTTAATATTCTCTTTTCCCAAGATTAACACTTATTGTAAATATTTGATCATATGTTAGAGATGTTACCTCAAAATGTCTTCTTTCTTGTCGGTGGCTTTGAAGCAACCATATTCTTCCTTTGTTGTTCTTCTGGAGAATGCTTTAAGTGAATCTTTAGATGAACTAATAGAGATGTTGTGGAAGACATTTTTGCATGAGTCTCTTGGATTATATATTCTTTATGTGATGGTTCTTTCCAAAGACACCTTTGGTGTTGATCCAAGATGAAGTTGATGATAACTACTCTTATTTTCTTTAATTCATTCCTTTATCTATTAACATATGGATTTATTTGTCGAGTTCTCAATTATCTCATTCTTTCCAAAATTTTCTAGAAATTCAACAACACTTATATCTTTTGAATCAAGGATTAGATTTCTAACCTTAATTCTTGAATCTGAGGTATCTGTTAGATATGAAATTTTTAACACAACTCAAGGATTTCAATGATTCAGCATCATCTATGAAATTAATATTATAATGAAAATAATAATATTAGTGGTAAATATAATGGTGGAAATATCATTAAAGATAAAAATAATATTATTGGTAAAGATAATTATAAGAGTAAAGTAATATGCGGAAGATATTCTAAAAATATGAAAAATACTTGTCAAGGATGACAAAAAAAAATCCTAAGTTTTAAGATTAAAAATTCGAATGTCTTTCACAACACATAAATGACTCTTTTATAGACAAGGATCCACACTGATTTGAAATTAAAATAAACTAAATATAAACTTTTATAAAAGGTAATGACCCAATTAAAATAAACTAAGTATAAACTTTTATAAAAGGTAATGACCCATATGGCCTGAATAATTGAAATAAAACAATTTTTTTTTTTAATAAAATAGAGTCAATAATTCAAAAGCAATTTAGAGTGGAAGATAATTGAAGTCAGTAAAGGTGAATAATTGAAGTAAAACAAAACGAAAAACTTTAATAAAATAGAGTCAATAATTCAAAAACAATTCAGAGTGGAAGATAATTGAAGCCAGTAAAGAGAGGGTCGTTGTGGTCTTTCACTTTTTATTTTCACCATAATTGATTTTATCTTCAAAATAATAATGGCAAGAGAAATCTTCATAATTTTATCTTGAATTTATCTTCGAAATAATTGAATGTAGAATTTTATCTTTTAAAGGTCTATGATTCCATAACAATCATCCTCATTATTATTTTCAGAAGTGCTAGAAGCATTATCACTTTCACATAAAGCAGTCATAACTTCTTTAATCTTGCTTAAGAATTCTATACGGTTGGAAGCAGCAGATAAAGAGACAAGTAATTTTGATCTATCTAACAAGAAAGATGTATCTTTTGAAGAGATGGTCTTTTCTTTGCAAAGATTAGGATGGAACTACCTAGAATCTAATCTTGATGGAGAAAGTAAATTTGGATTAAACTTTGACCATCATTTAACAAAATATTTCTTGACTAATTGAATAGAAGAAAATCCTTTCCATAATGGTTCAGTTGAAAAGGTCCAAGATAAAATCCACGTAATTTCAAAAACAACACAGAAACATAATAAAGACTTGTAATCAGGACAAATAGTTTTTCTGTAAAATTGTTAAATGCTTTTTAGGCATAATTAGGAAATATTTCTAAAATTAACCCAATAATTATGAGCCACTGGATAAACCAATTAGGGAAGTTAAGTGAAATATTCTTGTTGAACCATATAAATCAGGTGTGATTGAAAGGTCCAACAGAAAATAAATTGAACCAAGCGTCCATGTAATCAAAGTAAGAATAATATTGTGGAGTAAAGGTTCTAGAAAAAGATTTTAATTCTGATGGAGGTTGTTTCCCATCAGAAGGAGATAATACCTTATTAATTTTGAATTTAGAGAACTTAATCTTAGATTTATCATTCTGATATGTCTGATGGGTAAGAGTAATAGACTCAGAATCTACCAGGATAAATTTGTAGAATTTTCTGGTCTTGGTTTGGTCTTTAGGAATGAAGAAAACTCCCAAGGAAAAAATTCTTAAAATATTTTGCAATAACAAGGAGTTTGGAGGAGACTAAAGTGTTTCTAAAGGTAATATCGGTATAGATAAATATTTGGTAATAAAGGTCGATTTTGGTAAGGAAGAAGAAGGTGTATAGTAGGCTAATTTGGAAGGGTGGACTTTCTGGATATATAATGGGATGATAATTGGAAAGGTAAAAGCTAAGAGTTAATAAAGTAGGCTTACTAGTTGTCTAGGGAGTAGAAGTAATAGGAGAAGTAACTTTGGAAATAAAAGACGGAGAATCTAAAATTATTTCCTTATCTTTTTTTATCTTTAATGGGAGGACCATAATGATCTCTGGGGTCAACTGATTTTTTACTCATGTTTTCCCTGTAAAAGTTCTCTGGTTAGAAAATCTAGTAATGAATTTTTAATTCCATGAATATGCTCGATTTTACAATCAAAACAAGAAAGTAGTGTTTGTTATCTAGCAAATATATGTTTTGAAACTAAATTTTTAACATCTTTTTGTAAAATACTTCGTGCAGCTTTGCAATCTGTTTTTAATAAAAATATTTTTGAATGTTGTGATCACAAACGATATCTTTCAACCAATAAGGATTGAGAAAATAGAGTTCTTGGATGAACAATGAAAACGGTTAGAACAAAGAGAGAAAGAAGAAAGGATAAAGAAGAAAGAAGAAGAAGGATTAGGGCAAATTGCTATACTATTCACTTTCTCAATATCACAAAAGATTACAAGTGAATAACACAATTGACCACACTCAACAAAGTGAGTGTTCTAGCATATATATATAGACTAACTAGATAACTTGCAATCCAAGCTAACTAAATAATTGGATCCATAACAAAAATTCCAATTCGACAAACATTTTGACAATACATATTATAACAGACTTCAACTATAATATGTATCCTTAGATTAAAACATGCGACCCATCTTCGACTTCATGCTTGTCTCCTGTCGAAATACATTAAAGCTATTCCTCGACAGAGCTAGAGTTCGATCCAAAATCTCACAAATCTCCACCTTGGATCTAACTCTACAAACAACAGGGAATAAACTAGCTTTCATCATGCAACTTTATCAACTGCATACAGTGGAAAAACTTGCAACTTGGCAACGTCTTGGTGATCATATCATCAGCATTATCTTCAGTCGAAACCTTCAGCACCTAGACTTCACCATGCTCAATTATTTCTCTGACGAAGTGCAACCTCACATCGATGCGCTTAATTTGCTCATGATAGGTTGAGTTCTTGGATAGGTGTATTGCACTTTGAGTATCACATTTAACAGTGATATATCGACCTTGAAGTTTCAGATCTTTTACGAAACCTTCAAGCTACAATGGTTCTTTCACAGCTTCAGTGAGGACAATGTATTTTGCTTCAGTGTTTATAAGGCAACAACCTTCTAAAGCATTGCTTTCCAACTGATTGTTGTACCAAACATTGTGAAAACATATTAAGAAATAGACTTTCTGGAATCCATACAACCTACATAATCAGAGTCGACAAATCCTTCGATTTTGACTATGCTATCACCACCATAGGCTTCACCATAAATCAAGACTCGAATCAGAGGCCCATTTATGTACCTGAGAATCCACTTCAAAGCTTTCCAGTGTGCCTTTCCAGGATTGGCCGTATATCTGCTCACAAGGCTCACTCCACGTGTTATGTCTAGCCTCATACAAACCATAACATACATCAAAGAACATACCACACTAGCATATAGTTCAGTACTCGGGCTTTGAGTAGTACTAAGTTTAAACTGAGGATTTGTCAGTGTAACAAGAGACTTTGAATTCGACTTACCAAACCTATCGAGAAGCTTTCGTAGGTATGTATCTTGAGATAAGCACAACTTCGACTGCTTTCTATCTCTTCATATGTAAATCCCAAGAATCCTTATGGCAGCTTCCAGATCCTTTATTTCGAACTCTTTACTGATTTCAACCTTCACCTCCATTACATCCTCAACATTGTTTCTATTTATAAGGATATCATCCACATACAACAATAAAATAACAAGTGAATTTCTAGGTCAAAATCTAAAGTAAACACAATGGTCGAACTGACTCCTAGTGAAACCAATATGTGTCATGAACTTGTGGAATCTCCTGTTCCACTGTCAAGGAGATCTTTTCATACCATACGAAGATCTATTCAGCTTGCACACATAATCTTCCTTATCCTTTAATGCATACCCTTTAGGTTGGCGCATCAGGATCATTTCGTCTAGGTCATCATACAGAAATGTTGTCTTCACATCCATCTGCTCAAGTTCCAAGTCAAACTTCGCCACCATGGCCAACAAAATTCTAATGGATCTTTGCTTTACAACAGCTGAGAACATATCATTGAAATCGACACCTTCTTTCTGAGTGAACCCCCTAGAAACCAACCTTGCCTTAAAGCGCTAGGCCATTTTGTTGAGGAGTACCTGCTACAGTCTTATG